AAACATGACAATAGGTCTGATCTGATTTCATCTTCATTTAAAAAAAATCATCTATTATTTTTCACTTTATGTTTCTGTGTGGGAGCAAACTGTTGAAATCCTTACTTAATGTATACTAAGCTGATCTTCTGTATATTAAGATAATCGAAAATGAATCTTGATGTGAATGGAAGGGGAGAGGGAGTGGGAAAGGGGAGGGTAGTGGGTGGGAGGGACGGTATGTGGGGGAAGCCATTGTAATCCATAAATCGTACTTTGGAAATTTATATTCATTAAATAAAAGTTAAAAAAAAAAGTGATTTGGGATAAGTAGTAATTTCCGTACAAACACACACACATACCCACAAAAGGCGAAAGGGTAGAGTCAAAAGAGCAAAAATGTCCATAAATCATTAATGATTTATGAACACAAATATTAGAAATTTTATGATGAAGGTGTTATATGTGGAATATGATGTCTTTTGGCCAGGTTAGAGGATGGAAGGAGAGTTTTGTTAAGCAAGTATCCGGATATTACTGCAAGAATTAATAAGCAATAAAATACACTGCACATTAAACTTATGGTTAACATTTTTTCTTTGTAATTCATCAGCATGTTAAAGTTATTATTATGAAAAGCTACTTTACTCCTGCAATAACAAGCAGAAGTTGATGAACAAATTGCTCCCAACACATATAAAAAGATTCTAAGGTTGTGAGTATGTTCTATTGGGTTGCAAATGAACTTCTAGCTAATATCTCCTTTTAAGAAATTTCTCAAAGAATCTTTTAATTTATAAGATGATCAGTAACATTTCTACATGATCAAACTTTGCCATAAAGCACCCAAATTATTGAGACATTAGGAAAGGGAAAAAAAAAGACTTCATTTCTATAGTCATTCTACATCCACGTAAAGATGTGTATTGGATGTTGCAAATGCTTCACGTTGAGTGCTGAAAATGCTTCTGAGTTAATGAATCATTTTATTTTATTTTAAGATATATTTATTTATTTGAAAGAGTTACACAGAGAGAGGAGAGGCAGAGAGAGAGAGAGGTCTTCCATCCAATGTTTCACTCCCCATTGGCTGCAATAACTGGAGCTGTGCCGATCTGAAGTCAGGAGCCAGGAGCCTTCTCCGGGCCTCACACGTGGGTGCATGAGCCCAAAGACTAAGGTGATCCATCACTGCTTTCCCAGGCCTTAGCAGAGAGCTGGATTGGGAGAGGAGCAGCCGGGTCTTGAACAGGCACTCATATGGGATGCCGGTGCTTCAGGCCAGGGCGTTAACCCACTGAGCCACAGCGCTGGCCCTATGAATCATTTTCTACTATGTGCTTCTGCTGGCATTGTCCCCAAGTTCCCTAGCACATGTGACCAAGAGCTTATGAGAATAGGAATTAAATCCATTTTAATTTCTTCTTTACAAATAGGCTATCTTCTCCATCTTCCCTTCCAATAGAAACAGCCACCAGTTTTCTACCTTGCTTTGTTTTCTAATTGCTATTTATTTCTTTAAATTTGAAACATTTTCTCCTATTTTCCTCAAAGTTTTATGTTTCAAGTATTCAGTGGATGTATTTAGAGATTTTTATGAGAAAGTACCAAGCCAAATGGATATAAATATGAATATTACAACACAGTCTCTCACACAAGAAGCTTCTGGTCTAGATTGAGAAACCAGCACTTCTGTATACAGCTAACACATGCAAATCAGGCATCAGTATATATAGGTCTGGGAGTGGTGATGTAGGCATAAAAGGAAGAACTTGGATATGTTGAGTTTAAGATGTTGGTGGAACATCCAAAAAGATACCTCATGGATGGTCACAATGAGGACTTGAATCTGGAGGAAATAATCGGACTGAATATAAATTATAAAAGAGAACTATATATGGAGGTGATAATTGAAGTTGTAAGACAAGATCACAAGAGAATTTCTCAATCATGACAGTACTGAAATTTTGAGTCAAATAATTTTTCATTGCATGGGATTATCCTGTGCATTATAGGATGCTTAAAAGCATCCCTGGCCTCTACCCCTATATGTAAGTAGCTTTCTGTCTCCAGTGGTGAACATCAAAGATTTGCTAAGACATTCTCAAATGTCCTCAAAGGACAAAGCAGCTCCTGGTTAAGAAGTACCAGAGAGATGGTATGAAACATTTTACAAAAAGATCATAAGGGACAAAATTTGTTGAAATAAGCTTATGATATAGGAGAGAGAAAGACAAAATAGACTCAGAGAAAATATATTCATTGAGGCAATAGATAGTTTTTCGAATGCTTGGTGGAGGCAAGGAAGAGGAAGAACTTCAATTTTGTGAATGAAGATCAATCTTGGTGAATAATTACTATATGCAAACATGTATGCATGTACATATCAAAACACATTTCCAGACTACATGTATACATATATAAAAAGCATATAGGAAGAATATTTTCCTGGACTTTTTATCTGTTCTTATTACTCAACAGGACAGTCTAATTTGACCAAATTATTGAAACACTCACATCAGTTCTTTCTGAAAAGAGGTTTAAGTCAGAATCTATATTACTGGAAGTAACTACAACTGTCTGCTCTGTTCTTTCCTTCTCTGTCACATGCTTCATAACTTGGATTTCCAATACACTCAAACTTTCTCCCCCTCCCATAATAAGCAATAGTAACCTCAGGAAAGATTTATATAACCTCAGTTACATGTGACTGTGAAAACAAGCTACACAATTTATAAATTTTAGTCAGAAAATCCCTATTTGATTTAAGCCAAAGGAATGAAATTCTAAATCTCCAATTTTATATGTTTAGAATCAATATCCTCTGAGAAAGACTTGTTTTTTATTTCAAGTGTCCTTCCCAAAAGTTGAAGAATGAACCAGCTGGATAGTTTTTGTATAGCTGAAAAGCTAGATGTATTGTTCCTACTTCAGACTCCATTACTCCAATTGGACAAGTCATGTCCCAGTGTCTGAAGAGAAAAGCAGTCAATATCTCCTACTAGGGAACAATCTTGGTGAATGGGAAGCACTGCCTAAGCATGTACAGGAAACAGGCTTAGGGTAGAAGAGTCAGGGCGGAAGATCATTCCTGTGACAATCATCTTCAGTGCCTTGCGAAACCAAGGATAAAACATGCCATATATAATGGGATTGAAAGTGGAATTGAAATAACCCAGCCACAGGAAGACATTGTACAAACCTTCAGGGGTTGTAAAATTAATGAAAGGATCTGTGATCGTCAAGACAAAAAAGGGCAGCCAGCACAAAACAAACACTCCCATGACTATGCTTAACGTCTTGGTGGCTTTGCTTTCGTTTTTGGATGATGCCTTCACTTTGATTTTTGACCCAGCCAGTTTTGTCCTAGGACTCGTGCCAATCTGCTTAGCATGTTTCCTGGCTACTGTGAAAATATGTATGTAAATCCCTACCATGACTGTCCCAGGGAGAAAGAAAGCTATAAAGGAGGCCAGCACCCCCCAGACCTTATTGAAGATCAACACACACAAACCTGTACAGTCAATGGCTGAAACAAAATCTTCTGCACCAATTAGGTTTAATTCTGAGAATACCAGGCCAAAGGCAAACAAGATGGGAATGGACCAGCTGATGAGCAGAAAGAACTCAATGACGGGGAAGGTAATTTTGGTGACATAATGCAAAGGGTCACAAACAGCGTAGTGACGGTCCACTGAGATGAAGCAGAGGTGGAAAATGGAGGTGGTGCAGAGCATGATGTCACAGCAACTGTGGATTTTGCAAAAGAGATCTCCAAAGTACCAGCAGGACTCAATGGACCTGATCATACTGAAGGGCATGACCACACAGCTCAGCAAAAAATCAGTGATGGCCATGGAGAGAATCAGGAAGTTGGTTGGGGAGTGGAGCTGCTTGAAGTGAGCAATGGAAATTATCACAACCATATTTCCCAGCATGGTCATTACTATAGCACCAATCATGACCACATACATGGTGCAGGCAGTCAGCATGGGCCTCACATTTTTAGGGCACGAATTGTTAACCAAAGAAAAACAAAATTGGAGTTCTGGTGGTTGGTTCCAAAGGTTTGGTGAATTCATTTTCTTTGCCCTGTGAATATTATGAGTTTTTTTTTTAAAGCCTGTGTTCCTCTTCTTTCTGTAAAAGAATGAAAAAATAAACAATAAGAATTGTTGGCAGGCATAGGTTTTACAGAGGCCACACTGCTCTGCAATTTCAAGCCAAGCTTGAGCCTCCTACTGACCAGGATCAGGGTTTCCCAAACCTTTATGTGTGTATCAACCACCTGGGGATCTTTACAAAACCCAGAATTAGATGTTGGGGTGGCTGAGAGTTTGCCTTTCTCACCAGCTCTCAGGAGATGTCATCACTGTTTGTCCAAAGACTGTCCCTTGAATGGGAAGGAGCTAAATCAAACAGAATTGATTTTCAGTCACCCAGCATCCAGGCAACACATGTGGGTGCATGCTGTAACATTTACCTTGCCTTTATGCAAGATTCCAAATCCATAGGCAGACCAAGAATTTTTCCTGTCCTACTTATATTAAAAACTTTTCTGAATAAAAACCCTTTAATAATTTCAAGAACTGTGGGCTCTCTTTTAATATTTAATTTAAAGAATAATTATGATATGAAGATTATGCTACTTTTTTAAAAAAAATAAGTTTTTGGGACACTTGCAAAGCTTTTGATCATGTCATTTATTCCATACTGTTTAAGCTAAGGAAACACTTTCACAACAATGTGAAGGACATAGATTTTAGAATTTAGAGCAATATTAATGGCAAACTAAAATTATGATAAAGATTACAATGTTACACAAGAATAAGCTCAAAAACAAGGAAAAACACTCAGTTCCTAGATTTTGTAAATCTCATGGTTATTGTCCTTTGGTGTGGAAGCTGTACTCACAAATTCAAATTCAGACTGAGTCCTCTTGGCCAGATTTCAAATCTTACTTTGTTAACAAATTTTACAAGTCAGAGTGCTCAGTGTTTAATCTGTCATCTGTATCATTTATATTGTCATAATGCAAAAATAATCCAGCTGACTCACCCATTGGTTTGCTTTGTATTTCCAGGGCCCAGGCTCAATGTGCATTTCTGATGACCATCAGCAAACATTTGTGAGATCCAAGACCAGATCTCTGAAGTGGACTTTGGCCTGAAAATAAACCACAACTCACTAGTCATTGGGAAAACTAACCCAGGAGCACATTCTCACCTTACTTGAAACAAACGTTAATGAGAATATAAACACTTTTAAAAATAGGTGTTTCTACCATTTTCTACAATAGCTCAGTAATTTTTTACAATATCTCTGTCTTATTTAAAATATTAACATTATTGCACATTTCATTTGCTCCAGATACAATGATTTAATTTCTCACATTATCATTTCTCTTTTATATTTGTTCATTGTGCCAACAAAATATGATGAAATTAAGTTGAAAATGAGAAACAAATCATTTGAACGTAAAATGTAGGAAGGACCAAGACTTACTCAGTTCCTATATAAAGTGCAGACTGTTAAACAGAACATACAGCACAACTGTTTACTACTCACTTTGGTTCTTAAGCTCCAAGAGGCTGAAAATAACAAAAATCTTAAACACTTAATTACCTCATTTAGTAAATTAATATTAATCTACTTCAACTTCTTTACTTTTGTCATTCTTAAAAACGTTTGTAATTGGTTTTAATTTCTAAACAAATTACCTTTAAAGCTGCATAACAATTACCATAAAAGTATTTAACATGTTCCACTATACATCCATAAAAATATCATTCCTCATATAAAATAGCACACTCTTCAATACTTCATTGCATGGTTTTTGAATTTCAAAATTTCATTTTTGAAGCTTAATCCCTGAAAGAATTGATATATTTGAACTTTGTGGATTTGTAAAATGAGATACTTTTTAAAAACATAATATAAAGCAACTAACTTCTATAGATTAACAGTATTCTCTCATGTTCTTGGCATTGTATACACTAGGGGAATAGTTAAACATTTAAGTATTAAAACAGGAAGATAGAAAAAGCAACACACATTTATTTTAAAAATGAACGTATGAATAAATTTTTAAGGCAATATCAAAGATAATAATGTCTTAAGACAGGTGTTTGGCTTAATGATTAAGTTCCTGGGTAGACTCACCTTCCATACCAGAATGGCTATATTATATACTGAGCCCTGGCTCCCGACTCCAACTCATGCTAGTGCAGACCCTGGAAGGCAACAGTGATATCTCAAATGTTCAGCTCTTGCCAGCCTTGTAAGAGTCTTGGATTGAGTTCCTGGCTTTGGCCTGGCCCAGCCCCAGGCCATCTAAGGAGTAAGCCAGTGGATGCAAGATTTCTCTCTCTCTCTTTCTGTGTGTGTGTGTGTGTGTGTAGGTGTGTCTCCCTTTCTGTAACTCTGACTTTGAAATGAATAAATAAATATTTTGAGAAAGTGTTAGTATCTATTTGTTCCCACCAACTAAAAAGAGAAAAGTAATGAACAGCTCAATATGGGATTATAAATAAGCAGAGAAAAAGTGGGATAGGACATACAACATCTCCTTTGTCAGGCATGCCTTTTCTGCTATCACTAGTTAACACAGCTCAAACACTCCATTCCTGGGACTATCACTGCAAAAATAACAACCTTTATCTTATTTTGATGCTCTTCATCTATATAATAGTTTCTTCGGTAAGGGAGATAATCGTGAATTAGATTTAATAAAAATCTACTGTGAGACTTTCTATCTTTAAGACCCTAGTGATTTTTTTAAAATGCTCCAGTTTTACTTCTGTAGATCAGTATTTTAGATATGGCTCCCCACAACTTACAAATAAAGTCAGCAAACCAAGGAAAAACAGTAATCTGATATTTTTCCCCCCTTGCCGAATGTATTCTCCTTTGGTTTGCCGGAATTTGTTGGGCTAAGCAGGTGGAATGGAGTTAAGATCACTGAAAGGTCAACTATCTGCTGTGCCAAAGTTCTTACCAGGATAAGAGCAGCGTGCTCCCTTGTGCTCCTCATGCCCAGTTTGCCCATTGGCCCACAGGTCCATTCTCTTGTAGGGCAGCTGCTGGACGGTTGTGCTGCCATCAGTATTTATGCACAAAATATACCTCTTGAGGCTGCATTATCCTGTGTCCTGCTTTTGAGCGTTGTGTCCTTTCAGACTCCCAGAGTGCTGCCAGCAAAGAGATTACAGGAGTTCACCAGAGAATTGGCTCCAAGCTGGTGATTCAGTTTTGTGCCATGGTTGCTATGACCTCAGAGAGAGAATCTGCATTAACCTGGGACAAAGACAAAGGTGGGAAAGAACAAAGCAAACAAAGAAGGAAGAAAAGAAGAGAGGAAGGAGGGGAGGGAGACTTGAAGGAGAAAATTTAGTTCAAATCCAACGAATGCTCACAAGTTATCTAGCATTATTTCCAAATCCTAGATAATGTTTCCAAAGAGCAAATCCTTTAATTGTTGGGGCAAAGTGCCAATCGATATCGTTGCCTTCTGAGGCCATTGGCAAGTCAGTGATATTCTTGCCTTCTTTAAGTCCATAGCTTTCCACATAAACTCATAGCCCAAACCAAAAGCATAAGGAAACTTGTGTCAACACAAGCAGATGAAAAATGTCCCTCACTCTGTTTCCTGAGCACCAGAGAAGGTGTATGCCTCCTCTGAGTATGCCATCGTCCCATACGTTCAGCTTCGTTGTGTCAGTAGTTTGCACTGATAATTTTGCCATCCATCAACATAGCAAAATTGCTGCCTTAAAATAATTATTTAGAGAACATATAAGCTTAAGTATTTATTAAAATAGAATCAAGTGATTCATATATAAATCAATTATAAAAACTAGCTGTATTACATTCTCTGAGAGTTTCTTCATAAAAATAATGTTGCCTGCTGCTACATTGCTACATTGTTTAAAAAAATTTTGCCTTATTTATTTGAATGATTCACTTCCTAAATGACTGCAAGGGCCATGACTGGACCAGGCTGAAGCCAGGAACCTGGAACTCCATTCAGGTGTCTCCTGTGAAGGTTGTGACTTAGGCATAGAAACAACAAAGCACAAGAAAAATATAGAATATTCTGGCATTCTAAGAACTGTAGCATTTGAAGGAAAAAATAAGAGAAAAGATGACACCAGGAAGGTAAATCCTGATCAGAAAGGAATGGCAGCTCATGATAAGAGCCTCGGGTGATTACTGATGTCATAAATAAAAATGTCAATTGTTAAATTAACAACAGGAGTCACTGTACACTTACTCCCCATGTAGGATCTCTGTCCTTAAGGTGTTGTACTATGTGAATTAACAGTATAACTAGTACTCAAACAGTACTTTAGACTTTGTGTTTCTGTGTGGGTGCAAACTGTTGAAATCTTTACTTAGTATATACTGAATTGATCTTCTGTATATAAAGATAATTGAAAATGAATCTTGATGTGAATGGGATGGGAGAGAGAGTGGGAGATGGGATGGTTGTGGGTGGGAGGGAGATTATGGGGGAAAAAAGCCACTATAAGCCAAAGGTTGTACTTTGGAGATTTATATTTATTAAATAAAAGTTAAAAAAAAAAAGTTGTGCTTTACTATCATAAAGGCTAGGTTGAGGAGCAGAGAGTAGGTAAATGAAAGTTTTAAAGCTTTAAGCTGGCCACATCATTGAGATGTTTCTGGTATCATTTCAGTGAGAAACAGGGCTCTGGTCCAGTCAGCAACAAGAGTAGACAGAAAAATTGTGAGGTGAACACAGAAAAGCAACCTTCAGGGACAAATCTGATGATGGAAAATTAGTACTCTAACCCACAGATTGTAGTCAGTCAAAACAAGTTTTCTTCAAGTAAAAAATCCAAGGATATCTATGTGTCAAGGAAAAGATTGTGTGCATATGATCACTAAAATGTCCTGCATTTATTTAAAATAAAAAGGGCAAAGTAAATAAAACCTATATTATTAATATACTTTGTGTTCAGTGTAGAGATTATTTGCATCATTGTCATTTTTAGTTTGTGATATTTAAGGAAATTTTACATGCTAAATTATTTATAATATTATCATTTCTACTTAGAAAGTTAAGCAAATAATTGATTTCACCAGGATTTTTAATTTGAAAGGAATTAAAGAAATTTGCTAAATTAATAATGTTATAGTTTTAAAAAATCTTAAAATTCACCTTATTTATATGCTATTAAATTTATGAATTATTTTAGGTACTGGGGAAGGTTTTATGTATAGTTCAACAATCAAGTTATCAAAATGGAAACTCAAACCCTTTAATTTGATGAGTACAAATAAAATATTTTTTTAACTTTTATTTAATGAATATAAATTTCCAAAGTACAGCTTATGGATTACAATGGCTTCCCTGCCCATAACTTCCCGAATAAAATATTAAGGGAATTAATTAATCTGCAATGTTCCTTAAAAGTTGCTAATGAATAAATAGAATATTTTATTTACAAGTTATAAAATAAAGTCTATAAGGTATAAAGTTAAAAATCACATTTTAAAGAAGAGCTAGATTTTTCAATACTGTTTTTTAGATTAATTCTAAAAAGCAGTGTTACCTCAAAGTATCTCTTCTATGCTCAAGAACACCAGAATCTCAAGCAAACAGACTGATTCTAAAAATGCAAAGTTTCCCAAGTGAAGGAGGGAGAGGAGCAGCCACTAAGAATAGAGCAAACACAATGAACTACTAATCTGGAGCACAGCGATTCCTTCAGAGCAATGTAGCCAAGAGGCTACGTCAGACTAATACAGAATCTGATGCCTTTGGGAGGAATTTCCAAACTTGGAAAGCTGCATTCAGCAGGTGTGCAACAAGGAAACACGTGGCACAACCAACTGGGGTGAATGGGAGAAGTTTAATAAGGGGACTATTTACAAGGCAGTGTGTGGGAAGCAGGCTTAAGAAAACCTGCAAGAAACAGCATCGTTTCCTGGTGCAGTGGTAACAGGGAACCACCACTCTTGCCAAAGCAGAGGTGCAGGGAAGGGAGCAGCCGGGAACTCCAAGGGGATGGCTGTATGGAGGGGGGACTCCAGATGATCTGTTCTGGAGGAGGACAGCCAGCCCTGAGAAATTAGGCAGAAAGGCTGCCTGGGATAAACACCCTGGTTTCACCCTTCTTCCATCTGCTGGTCACCTGGAGGTACTTCCCACTAGCAAAACGCCACCAGGAACCTCTGGCAAAAGAGCTCTTTAATCTGGTTGGTACAGGTCAGCCTTCTGTACAAGAGTGGGTGGGAGAAGGTTACCCGAAAACTGGAAGAAAAACAAAGTTCTAACATTGAAATCATTTAAGGTGTTTAAGAGGAATTATGAAATTCAGATAGAACTTTATTAGGGAAAGCTCAAAATGGTGTTAAGGATCTTCTCTTGTCCCGAATTCTTAGAGTGGAATCAGATAGGAACAAAAACCCTGAGCACTTTATTTTCTTTATTCTTATATTGGTCTTTAATGGTCTCATGTGTCTAAGTCTAGGACAACCAATCCCAAACTATGTTTGATGCTTCTTTCCCTGCCCCTCCCAACAGTTAAGTGTGCAATGGATATAGAGTAACAAGTAATAAATGATGGATGCATTGATTGGTCAAAGAATTGTTTAACCGCTTCTGAGCAGTGTCTAAAAGAACTTATTGATTGGGTTGACAGCAGAGGGGGAAGAGGAAGTTTAAAAGGAGAGGTGAATGCAGATGTATTCATATTTACATTTTTAAAAATATCTATTGATTTATTTGAAAGTCACAGTTACAGAGAGAGGGAAAGACAGAGAAATACAGATATTCCATCCACAGGTTCACTCCTCAAGTGGTTGCAATCTCCAGGGCTGGGCCAAGCCAAAGCCAGAAGCCAGGCAATTCTCTCAGGTCTCCCACATGATGGCAGGGGCCCTATCATTTGGGCCATCTTCCACTGTTTTACCAGGCCATTAATAGGGAGCTGGATCACAAGCAGAGAAACTAGGACTTGAACTGTTGCCTATATGGGATGCTTTACTCTCTACACCACAATGCCTGTCCCTGTGTTTACATTTGGATGATAGCTATTGATATATTGTATATTTCTTTTGGCTGCACTAAACTAGTACATTAAGAAATTCTATGGAAATAAATCTTTTGCTGATATTTTGAGAGTACACATATTACAGTGAATTCCTTTAGAAACATTTTACTTCAAATGCACTGTTGCTTTATGCCCCATTTTAATCTAGCATTAAGGGGATACAGTATTTTAATTGCCAGAACCTTTGTCTAGAGGCCTGTTGCATTTTTGTCTTTTATGAAATTTTTGTTCCTAAGCATTTCAAATTACATTTTTTTCTTAATAGGTTGAGTGGGTGTAGTATATCCTTGGTTATCAAAATACTCATACAGCTTTGGGATCTTGAACTGGTAAATATTCACAATGTGTGAAAACACGTGATACATTCTGTATCAACTTTGTCATGTAAAATTGGATGTTGGGTATGCACATATAGGACCTAAAATGCCGTGTTGAACTAAACAACTTACAATTGTGGAAGAATCTGTTCTTTGCTTCTTGTGTTTTTCAATTTCCTATAATGTACTTATTAACTCTTTTTAAATGTCATTTTAAAACCTTAAAAAGAGTGCCTTGTATGAGTTACAGAACACTTAAAGATTACTGGCATTTAATAATGGAATACTGAGCCGGCGCCGTGGCTCAATAGGCTAATCCTCCACCTTGCGGCGCCGGCACACCGGGTTCTAGTCCCGGTCGGGGCGCCGGATTCTGTCCTGGTTGCCCCTCTTCCAGGCCAGCTCTCTGCTATGGCCAGGGAGTGCAGTGGAGGATGGCCCAGGTGCTTGGGCCCTGCACCCCATGGGAGACCAGGAAAAGCACCTGGATCCTGGCTCCTGCCATCGGATCAGCGCGGTGCGCCGGCTGCAGCGGCGGCCATTGGAGGGTGAACCAACGGCAAAGGAAGACCTTTCTCTCTGTCTCTCTCTCTCACTGTCCACTCTGCCTGTCAAAAAATAAAAAAAAATTAAAAAAAATGGAATACTAATATTATCTGGGAATGTAAGGTATGGGCTATAGATAAGAATAACAACAGTCTCCTTTTATCTACTTCAAAAAATATTTATTTTTACTCATTTGAAAAGGGAAGAGAAAGAGAGATATCTTCCATCCTCTGGTTCACACTCCAGATGCTCAGAACAACCAAGGCAGGACAGCTAAAAACCAGGAGCTCAAAATTCAAATAAGGTCTCCCATGTGGGTGACAGGGAGGCATCACCTGCTACATCCCAGGATCACATTACCAGGATGCCAAACTCAGCAGTGGACCTGAACCCAGGACTTCCACATGGGATTCATGCATCCCAACTACATCTCAACTGTTGTGCCAAACACCTGTGTCCTTTTATTCACTTTCGTAATACTTTTTCATTAATGTGCTTCAGCAAACAGATTCACATTTTCTGAATGGGAACTAAATATTTTTCCTGTTACTATGTAGATGAGTGCTTTCTGAAACCATGGATAAAAAAAGCCATGGATGAGAGGATTGCAAGTAGAGTTGAAGTACCCAAGCCACACTAAAAGGTCAAGTACTACTATGGGAGTGGAGTAGTCTAAATACGGGTCAATCAAAACAGCAAGAAAACAAGGCAACCAGCAAGCTAGAAACACTCCCATTACTATGCCCAGAGTCTTTGCTGCTTTCCTATCCTTTTTCTTTGATAAATTTTTCTTCACTTCCCCCTTTGTATTTTCAGGCATATTGCTGATGACTCGAGCATGTCTTTTGGAAACAATAAAGATCTTGCCATAAATACCAACCATGAGTGAACCAGGAGTAAAGAAGCATGTAGTAAACAAGATTGTCCCCCAAAATTTGTTGAATGTAAGGGCACAGAAATTAAAGCAAGCCACAAGAATCTCATAGCTCTGCATACCAGAAACATTGGCCTCAGATAAAACTAAGCTGAAAGAAAAGAGAGCTGGGGCTGACCAGCAAAAGGCCAGCAGTCGCTTGACCATGGAGGGTGTCATTGTGGTCGCATAGTGCAGGGGGTAACACACAGCATAAAAGCGATCAACAGCGATGGAACAGAGGTGGAAAATAGAGGTCAGACTTAGCATCATGTCAAAGCTTGCATGGAATTTACAAAAGCCATCCCCAAAATACCAGCAGCTCTCCACGGATCGTACCATGCTGTATGGCATAATGACAAACCCTAGCAGAAAATCTGTGGTAGCCATGGAGAGGATCAGAAAGTTTGTGGGAGAGTGAAGCTGTTTGAAATGTGATATGGAAATTATTATAACCAAGTTTCCAAAGATAGTGATAACCATGGCTCCAGTCATGAACAAGTACATCATCACTCGGACATGAAAATGGCGGTTAGTGGGAGGACAGGATTTATTTCCAAATTTTGAACAACTGGCTATGTCTCCAGGAATATAAGTTAGATCCATGGTGTTTTCTCACTTCAAATTCTTTCCAGGATAATGAATCAATATTTCTTCTCTGAGGGATTCTGGTAAATTTCAGCTCCTAATAGTACAAAAAAGATCAAAGTCATCCATTATTAATTCACTTCAATTGTAATTACTTGCATTTAAATGTGTCAAAATATATCAACTGTGCTTGCTCCTAAGATTTTCTTTTTGCTACATAGAAGAAGGGAAGTTTTCAGCAGCTTATTCTTCTCTGTTATGTAATTTCATTTCATTCTATCCATTCATTCATTCAACATGTTTATCAACTGACTGCTCTGTCCCTGGTAATGCATTGGAAGATTTTCAAGTTTCACTTTTCCAGAAGCCTATTTGTGCTACAATAAAATATTATTTCTTTCACCATAAAAATACTTAAAACATATAAATGTTAAGTGAAATCAGAAAGCTTTTCTTTCAATAATTTGAATTCTTCACTGGTAAAGATTGGGAATGTTTTAAGAGTTATAAATGGCATATCACTGTTGAAATACACAGTATGATAACGCTTGGCTTTTAACATAGCTGTTGAAAGCACTCTACATATGGGTGAAACCTGTACGCGTATCAGTGCCTCACAGCATCTCCAGCATCTCTGTATTCTGCCCCTTCTCCTCTCCTCTGTTTTTCTTAAGTATTATAGTTTATCTGAGATTCTGGTTAGTGGATCCTGGCATGTGTTCCATCTACGAGTGATATAAAAGGAGTTGAAATTTCATGCTCATAGACCACTCACTCAAATCTCACATGACTCCTGTTTATCACAGAGGACTAAGAAAGGTGAACAAATTACATAAATCCAAGGTCAATAGTTTTCTTGCACTTGATTTACTACTCAGTTTTGGACACAGATGTTCCTAAAAACCACCCACTGGTTAGCTCTTAGAGAAGCTTGACATGGTGCCTCTAATAAAAGCATCAAATCTACTTACTGGACTACACAGAGGCAAGCCCAGTCTCGAGTGAATGAGATGTGGGAGACTCTCTGGCCTGTGTTGGATTCCCCCAAGCTACAGACGTGCAAATGTAGTGGACATTTAGAAAGTTCATCTATTTAGACAATCAATGCATTTTTCCCTTGAGAATCCTATTAAACAGCAAGAAAAAGCCACTTCTTGGTCTCAAGATGTAACAAGCCCCATGATTTCTCTTGAGCCTGCCATTCTTCCTGATGGAGGACGGGAGGGGGACCTTGCTGTGACCAGAGAGCCTGTGTGGTGTCTGCTAGAACAGTCAGAGGAGGTTTCTCTGTAGAAGTCTCAGGAAGGCCCGTTTTGAGTTGCCTGTTCCACAGAACTGCCAGTTTGCTCTGGGTTAAGGATTTACTTCACTCACTCCCAAGGTCCTCAACTAGGAGTTCTCTTAATCCAAATTCTGCCAATAGCTAGTTGTGAGCTCTCAGTAATATGAGGGGTGACGGCTGGATGAGCCTCATGTGCACTTCCAGATCTAAAACCTGTGAATCATCGGTAGCCCAAAGACTATGCATTCTAAATCATGTTCTTGCGAACAGAGAGGAGACAAGAGCACAGAAACATGATGAGAAAGAGATGGAATAAAGTTTGCGACGCAGAACAGAGGCTCATGGAATGGTCCTTTCTATCCTGGGGCACATCTGATCAATGTTAGGGCGCTTCTCTCCATGATAAAGACCTCTGCACTCCTTTCTGCCTCACTGTGCATTTTGGTTTTCACAGAGGAAAGGTTCTGCATCTAGCTGGGGTAGCATTTTAACATAAAACTAACAGCACTCCATAAAATCCTCTTCAGTGTAGTACCTGTGTAGAATACACTGACTCATATCTTGTCTTTTCTTGCTATTATCCCCCAAAATAAACTTCATAAAAACAGCTACATCTTATCACTCCTGCCATGCACTATCAGGAGACAGGAAACTTGTCTATTTTGTTCCCTCATGGATTCTCAGGACTCAAGTTGTTGTGGGAAGCAGTAGATGTTTGAATGAATAAATATGTAAATAATGGTAAGTTATGGTGCTCCTAAAAAGTTTGCATTGGGGGCCAGCGCTGTGACGCAGTAGGTTAATCCTCTGCCTGCAGCGCCGGCATCCCATATGGGTGCCGGTTCTAGTCCTGCTGCTCCTCTTCTAATCCAGCTTGCTGCTATGGCCTGGGAAAGTGGTAGAAGATGGCCTAAGTCCTTTGGCCCCTGCACCCATGTGGGAGACCAGGAAGAAGCACCTGGCTCCTGACTTCGTATTGGAGCATCTCCAGCCGTTGCGGCCATCTGGGGAGTGAACCAACAGAAGACCTCCCCCTCTCTCTCTCTTCCTCTCACTGTCTATAACTCTACCTCTCAAATAAATAAATAAAAATCTTTAAAAAAATAAGAAAAGTCTGCATTGTTCCAATATGAGACTTCATATAGATCAATGGACTAGTTCCAGAAACACACTTCATGAAAATATCCTCTGAGATGAAATTTTTTCTGATATTGCTATAAAATTATTCTTCCTAGAATAACAATTAAATAGGCAGAGTTGAGAGATTTGATGTAGATACCTTTTATGCTCTTCTAGGTGAGAAAGGAACAAAAGGTGCTGAGACTGGACAGGGATGTGAGGGTCTTAGCAGAAGGAAACCGAGCTGCTGAGTGGTTCAGCTCAGTGCACATGGGAGGTCGACCCTGTGGTCGTGTTGGGATGGGATTATAGTGGCTTTTTTTTAGTCTCACCTACCACTCAAGGGAATTGAGGATGGCCTTTCAATTGAAACTTATACATTCTCAACACTAAAAGGAAATATTGTATCGAAGAACAGTGCCTTACAATTAAACTCATACACTTATATCCATAAGTCCATCAATACCTATACAGGTAAAGTATACGCTTACCCTGGAGACTCTCATGCCTCAGTTGCCCATCTGATCTTAATGATCACAGCCAAGACACTGAAACAAACTCACAGTCACTGTGTACAAGTACGTATTCCATTTTATTAAGGATTGGGGAGATCTCTGAGGTGTTTCAACAGGAGAACAAATCTTTCATTGCATACACTTATTTACACAAGATTCATCTTTCAAAACTAGAAAAGAACCTCAAATAAAATGTTAACAAAATTTTATTCTGCAGAACAGTTTCTCATCCCCTTTTATCTTACATTCCCCTGCCATGTCTAATAATGTACAATAATTCATTTCTGATTTATTTGGTTAGCAAGAAATCTACGGCTTTAGTGGCATAGAAGTTCTCCCTTCTAGTCCTTGCCCTCAAAATATGCACTCTGGACCAGCCACATTGCCAACTACAAGAAGCAGTTTTAGAAACAAAATATCTCAGACCTATTCCAAAATATGCACTTAGTGAGATGCTTATGTTATCTGTACAAATCCGTTGCTTTGAGAAGGATTGTTCTAAACAATACAGTAAGTGTATATTTAGTTTGAGCACACTGCATATGAAATGAGAGAACCATTTTGAGGAAGAAAAAATAGCAGACTATCCTAAGTAAATGCTGCTTGCCAATGGAAAATAATAAAAATAAAATATGCAGTATATGGTAGTGATTTCTGGAGACTGTAACAAGAATTTTTGTTATTAAAATGTAATACCAAAATAAAAATAGCATTTTAGCATTATTGAAATATGTAAGTTCTTTACATTTACTGAGTCATCTCTTGCATAGTTCTTGTACTTTGTAAAACCATCTTTAATATGTCATTCTCTAGCAACTTGCAAACCACCAAGCAAATTCTAATGGGAAATTTAAGACCTTCCTTTCAATGGAATATCATCATAATTTTTTTAGTCAGAAAAAAAAACCTATCTTCTCTATTACAATCTATTTTTAACAAATTCTCATTTTCTATAAAATTTAATTATCACTGTTTAATTGTCTTAAATAGAAAATAAATTGTATTTTATAAGAAAATACGTTGTGTAAAGGGATAGTGTGCTTCCAGTTCTTTTTATTGACCCAGTACCTTTTTCCTCCTGGAAAGTTAGCCATCAATCTCTGAGTCTCCACTGCTGGTTGGGAGGTAATTCTGGGAAGTTGAGTGTAAAGGTTTAAAACATCTGATTCATATAAAGTTGTCTCTGCTCTCAAAAGACCTGGAGCAGAGAATTCAGATCAGGGAACTCCAAAGAGACACACTCACTCCAGAGACTCAGTGGAATTGCTCTTTTAGCTTTCCCAGAGGATATTAAAATAGTCACTTTTTTTAATGCCTCCAGAGAGTTTTCAGTTTCCTTATTTTTTTTATTAATGAAGGGCAATAATTTTATGTTTGACTTTATGGCACTTGGAGCTTCATTATGGAAAGACAAAGTACCAAAACTTCTGTGTATTAAAAACACATAGACATAAGTAAGTTGAATTAAATGTTGGCTAATATCCAGGACATAAATGATTGTCTGAATCATAGAAGATTTCTGTTTGCACTTTGAATGAGAAAACATGGAGCAAGAGGGAAGTATTTATTTTTGCTTCAATGACCTGTGCCTGTTTGAGAAAAACCTTTGATGGAATAGAGAACAAGAAAAAGAAAGGAAAATAGTCAATTAAAGTGTCACAAATCTTGGAAAAACAAGTTGACTAAGCAACAGTGAATAAGAAGTCAAGAGAGCAGGGTTCTAGTGCTGTTTCTAAAATTAGTTGTGAAATCCAGGTTAAGTCACTCGTTCTCCCAGCTCAGTTTTCTCACCTGTAACTTCCCTTAGCCTTCTGGGTGTGGAGGAAGAGTACTAACCAGGGAGATGAAAGCAGTAAAAGCGGCGAAAGGCAGTAAGTATACAGGAGGCTGGGCCACTCTATTTCCTTCACCAGTACAGAGCACAGAGCACGTTTTCCAAAGGAAAAGTTCAGGAAGAACATCTGGAGTAAAGCATTTGTTTCCGTGAAAGGGGATAAACTGAGCAGAACATTATTGAAAACTGATTTAAATGATGCTTCACAGACAGAAGCAGCATCATAAGAATCCTATGGCCCTCAGGGGGACCCCAAGTTTTTATTTCA